TCATACATCATAATCTTTATCAATCTATCTTCTGCTGTCTTAAATCTACTGTTGATCACCTCTAGTGAATTTTTCATTTTGGTCATCATATTGAAAAGATTTTCCATTTTAAAAAATAATCTCTACCTCTTTATTGATATTCTCTGCTTGATGAGACATTATCATCACGTATTCTTTTAATTTTTTAAACATGGCTTTCTTTGTTTCTTTGAATAGTTCCTTTGAAGACTTTGCTAAGTCCACCATCTGGATTCCCTCAAAGGCAGTCTGTGTTGCCTGCTTTTTTCCCTGTGTGGGTCATACTTTCCTATTTCTTTGCCTATCTTGTAATTTTTGTTGAAAGGTGTATATTTTAGATAATATATTTTACCAACTCTCAGTATTGTTCCCCCCACCCCTTTCTTGGGCTTGTGCTTTGTTTTTGCTTATTGCTTGTTTAGTGACTTGGCTCAGCTAGATAAGTAAAATCTATCTCCCCTGCTGTTAGTAGCCAGTGACTTTGTTCCTCAGAGGGCACAGCCTTGATCATGGACACGATCTCCCTGACAACCAGGGATGATTGTTGTTTCAGCTGTGTTCTCTTTGACTTTCATCTTCCTGCTAAGCTTCTGGCTGATCTATTGGCATAACACCCAGCTGTTAGCCTCCATTAATTGCTAGCTGATTGCTCTATTGCTTTCAACAACACCCTGAGACATTGTTTCACATTCTGATCCAATTAAAGTCTGGCCTCTTGGCAGAGGCAAGGTGTTGCCAGTCTTTGAGGCTTGCTTCAACCCTAAGAGGGCTCTTCCTGGTTGTCTCTTTCTCTGGTTCTGTTAAACATCTAGCTGGTCTATTGTTTTGCTTGTTGCCGCTAATATCATAGAAATACTAGCCTCCTCTACATTGCCCACCCCAGAGATCTCCATTGTTTCCCACAAAGTTCTTAGGCATGAACTCCTCTCCTAACTCTGTTTCAAATTAAGTCAGTCCCCTTAGGCAGCATTCCAGAGCTCTCTGATTGACAGCCTCTCCCCTGGGCAAAACTTCTGCACTCCTGCCTTGGTACTAGAGGTGGTAACAGTGGGCCGCCTTTCTTGTAGTGACATCTCTGCTCTACAGGTGGGGCGCTGGGTGGGGATTGCAGTCCCTGATCTCTGCAGCATGTCCCTCACAGCTGTAGTCCTTCAATTTTAATGCCTCAGTTCTTTCTACTTGATTATATTTTATCTTAGGTATTCTCTAAGCATCATCCTGACAAGAGTATGCATTGATGATTCTGAGCACATCATTGGGTTATATGTTTACTGCAGACAGGAGATTTTCACTGAACACTTGACACATTTTTATTGCGTTCTGAAAATGAGTTAATTAATTTGATTGGTTTGTTTTATAGTGAATTAAAACAGTGCTTCTTAAACTGGAAGGTGCAAACCAATCACCTGGGGATCTTGTTAGCGTGCAGATTTTGATTGGGCAGGTCTGGGATACCCTGAGAGTCTGCATTTGCAACTAGCTCCCAAGTGATGGCAATGCCACAGATTGTGAAGCAGGGAATTAAAATATAATATTACCTTAAGATTCAACATCATAAAAATGTTAGTTCTCTTTAAGTTGATCTGTGAAATAATGGTAGTCCAATTAAAATATCAAAGAGGGTTTTATTTGTTTGTTTTTAAGAATCTAAGTAAACTGACTCAAAAATTCCTTTGGAAAAATAAATAAAAATATCTCCCAAATTCTTAATAAGTAAATGAGGGGACTAGCCCTATCAGATTCTGAAATATGTTACCAAGTTGCAATATTTAAAATGATATGAATAGACTGGAACATCAAAGGAAAAAATATAAAGTCCTGTAACAAGCCTTGATACAGATTGTATATAATATGTATATGATCAAGTATCTAAAAAGTTCTGATATTGTTTTTTTAGTTTATGATAAAAGGTAATTAAGGGACAGCCAGATTATTGAATAAATGATGTGAGATAACTGGGTAGCCATTTAGGAAAAAATTAAGTTGGAACTATGTCTTACACTAAAAGTAATTCAGGTGTATCAGAGATTTAAATGTAATTAATAAAACCATTAAAGTCCTAAAATAAATAGAAAATTTTTATATAATCTTGGAATGAGGATGCCTTTCAAAATATTATATAAAATCTAGAAATCATGAAATCATTAAAGTCAGTAATATACAGACAAAAATTTTTCTGCATAGCAAAAACCATTATGAGCAAAGTCAAGAGATAACTAGAAAAATGTTGTATCTAACATCACAAGGAGCTAATTTTCTTAAAACAAATACCTTTTACAAATCAATAAGAAAAAAACTAACAACTAAGAGAAAAATTGGGCAAAAGTTTTAAAGTTTTACAGAAAAGCTAAACAGTCTGAAACACATGAAAAGTGTTCTACCTCACTTATAATATGAGGAATACAAAATAAAGCTATAATGAAATATTATTTTTTTCTCTCTTAGATTGACCTTGACAAAGATCAAAAAGTTGATAAGACTGCAGAAAAGGAGTGGAGGGAAATAGGCAGTCCCAAATATTGCTGCAGAAGTGTAATTGGCTTGATCATTATAGAGGGCAATTTGCACTATTTACCAAACATTAACATGCACAAATATTTAGGCCAAGCTTTCTTGACCTAGGCACTACTGACATTTGGGGCTGGATAATTCTTTCTTATGAGGGGATGTCCTATACACCATAGGGTGTTAAGTAGTATCCCTGGCTTCTACCTACTAGATGCTAGCAGTACCCCCCCTACTTGTCACAAGCAAAAATATCTCAAACCTTTCCAAATGTCCCCTGGGGAGAAAATCCCCTCTGGTTGAGAACTCCTACCTTAGAACAAGCAATTTCACTTTTAGTCATTTATCCTACTATATACTTGCATGCTTGCAATCTGACGAATACCCAGAAGATTAGTAATTGCAGCATTGTTTGTTGTGATAACAACATACTGAAAAGCTAAGTGACTGTTTTGGGGGGAGTCGTTAAATCATGGTACATCCTTGCGGAGAATTCTGCAGCTGTCAAAAAGAAGAAGTAAATTCTTTATGACCTGATACAGAAGGATCTTTAAGATTTATTGAGTGAAAAGAAAGCTGGATGAATAAAAGTGAATAGAATATGCTACTATTTGGGTCAAAAAAGGGAAACATATGTTTGTATAAGCATAGATTTCTGGAAAGATGCACAAAACCTAAAAATAGAAAAGGAGATCTTTGTGATGGGGGAACAAGGGTGGGATGGGGAGCTCGTTTGTCATAGTGTATTTTTATATCATTTAAATTGAATCTATTGCCTACACAAAAGAATTGGTAAGATAAAAATTAGAAGGATGATGTTAATTTAAAAAAATGCATCCTATTAAAAGGTCTAGTTAATTTGACTATATAATAATTTTTAAAATAAAAATTTACAAGACAAGGATTCTTCAAAAAATTGAATTACTATAGGTTCCAGCAATTCTACATCTGGGTATATACCCAAAAGAGTTGAAAGCAGGGACTTGAACAGATTTTTGTGCACCCATGCTCATAGCAGCATTGTTCACAATAGCCAACAGGTGGAAGCAACCCAAGTGTCCATCAATGGATAAATGGATAAACAAAATGTGTTCTGTCCATACAATGGAATATTATTCAACCTTCAAAAGGAAGGACATTTTAACACATGCTACCACATGGATGAACCTTGAGGACATTATGCTAAGTGAAATAAGCCAGTCATAAAAAGACAAATATTGTATGATTCCATTTAGGAACCCAGAGTAGTCAAATTCATAGAGCCAGAAAGTAGGATGGTGATTGCTAGGGACTGCGGTGACAGGGAGATATTGTTTAATGAGTACAGAGTTTCAGTTTTACAAGATGAAAAGAGTTCTGGAGATGGAATGTGGTGATGGTTGCACAACAATGTGAACGCACTTAATGCCACTGAATCGTACACTTAAAAATGGTTAAGATGGTAACATGTTATGTATATTTTATAATAAGATAGGAAAGTGAATTGAGACTGATCAAAGTATACTAAAATACACAATTTTTCACACACAAAAAACCTTAAAGAATCAAAATAAGTAAAATGTATTTCTTAATAAAGAAGAGAAGGAAGGAAGGCCAGGCATGGGGGCTCACGCCTGTAATCCTAACAATTTGGGAGGCCAGGAGGCGAGGATCACTTGAGGCCAGGAGTTCAAGACCAGCCTGAGCAACATAGCAAGACCCTGTCTTTACAAAAAATAGAAAAATTAGCTGGGTATGGTGGCATGTGCCTGGCTGAGGCAGGAGGATCTCTTGAAACCAGGAGTTGGAGACAGCAGTGAACTATGGTAATGCCACTGTACTCTAGCCCAGGTGACAGAGTGAGACATTGTCTCAAAAAGAAAAAGAAAAACAAACCCATAACGAAGGAGGGAAGGAAAGGAAAGGAAATGGGAAGGGGAGAGGGGAAAGGAGTGAAAGAAAAAAAGACTTTTTTTTTTTTTTTTTGAGACAGGGTCTCTCTCTGTCGCCCTGGCTAGAGCACAGTGGCATCATCATAGCTCACTGCAACCTCAAACTCCTGAGCTCAAGGGATCCTCCTGCCTCAGCCTCCCAAGTAGCTGGGACTACATACAGTGCCTTGGTGCCACCAAGGCCGGATAGTTTTTCTATTTTTAATAGAGACAGGGTCTCGCTATGTTGCCCAGGCTGATCTTGAACTCCTGGCCTCAAGCAATCCTCCCATCTCAGGCTTTCAAAATGCTGGGATTACAGGCATGAGCCACTGCACCCAGCAAAAGACTGTTTTAGACTGTATTTAGTGTTCCTGAACCGGATTTAAACATCATGATCTGTAAAAAATCAGAATCTTGTGGTTTCCCTCCCACCCCTTTGAAAATGTAAACATTATTTGTAGAACTATATTGAAACTGTGGGGAGAGATGGCAGGGACAGTGAGTCCTCTCTCACAGCAGGAGCTGCCAGGGCTCCCGGCGTCTAATCGATCCTTCCCCACCCAGGACCGGGCCAAAGCTGAAGGTTTGAACAAGAAGTTGCGCAGGCAGCTGGCTGAGTTCCGGGCGCCGCAGGTGATGGTGTACGTCCGGGAGAAGATCTTAAACGGAGACCTGGAGAAGAGCATCAAGATGTGGGAAAGGAAAGTGGAGATTGCAGAGGTGAGCCACAGAGAATCCCAAGATGGGAAGCCCTCCACATTTTTGTTTTTTGGGTTAAGAATACAGATATTTGGACAGTTATGTCTATGAGAAATGTCAGCAGTTGCCTCAACTATTAAACCAAAATGATTAAAGCTCCTTTTTTCATTATTGGGGACAGAGTCTTTTCAGTTTTCAGGGAGAGACTGTGTCATGATAGTGTGTTTTTAATTGCTTGTTTTCTTAATGAATTCTAGAAGCTTCTGAGTCCCTCCAAGCCACTGGTAACATAGTGATTGCTACTTTATACATGGAGAAGCCAGTTTTCTTTTAAAAATGAGATAATAATGGATTTTTAATATCACTTAGAACCTGATTCCATGCATGTACATAGTTGCTGTGGGGCTTTTCACTTTTAACTAACCCTATAGCCTTTGAATATGGTACCCTTGCTCCCTGTGAGCCGTGGAAGAGAAACAGGCAACGTGAAAACAATACACTGGTATCGGCAAAAAGGCAACACTGCGACTGCCACGGCCCAGTTGTGAACCGAGGTCCCTAAGACATCACTAGAACAGCTCAGAAACCCGGTCGGGTTGGTTGGGAAACTGGGAGCTTGGCGTTGTCACATCTAGACCCCGGCTCCATTTCCCAGTTACTTTCTCCTGCTTCTCCTGTGGCCACTTGGTGGCAGGAAGTAAATCAGGACCCAAACTTGGGCCCATCAAATCTAGAGCTGAGAAGTAGCAAAGAATTGCAGCAGGAACCTGCAACTTCTCACTTCACTGGACTGAAACATGCTCTTTCGAAGAATAATCTGGGTGGTTTCTGCCCCTTGGTGGCCCCTGCACAGCGGCACACACCCATGCAGCCCACACAGAGTCGTCTGGACCATCAGCAGGGCTGGATGAGGCTGCATTCTGCATAGTTGCAATCAGTTTTTCCTAAGTGACCCTCTCTCCCTCTTCCCCCTTTTTCTTTTTTGCAGATGTCCTTAAAAGGCTACCGTAAGACCTGGAATAAAATGAAAACAACTAATGAGCAGTTGCAGGCAATCTGCCCCCTGTCTGGTAAATAGCCAGAGGCAGGCCACGGCTCACAGACCAAGACGTGATCCATTAAAGTAATCAGCTCCTTTCTAGTCCCGGGGTCCTCTCACTGTTCCCTGTGCTGGCTGGTGTCCCCAACTCCCCAGCCAGGCTGATTGGGCACCTCCCACATCTGCCCACGGGGAGTGTTTTCACAGCCTGGCCCCTGAAACCAGTAACATTGAAAGAACCACAGGGCACTCTAATGGTTTGACACTTGTTAGCCCACATTTAGTTCATAAGCACAAATGAAAATGACCTTCCTGCAGGTGGGAGAGGGACAAAGAAGGGAGAGCCAGCCCATTGTGTGTGCTGTGGGCCTATCTGTGGCAGCCCAGGTGTGTAACTACTAAGAACAGATACCAAAAGAGCATGGGGAGTGCCTGGCACTCAGCATTCTGAGCTTACTCTTCAGTTTGGTGGGTTAACTCCTGAAGTAGACACGGCTGCAAAAGAAAACAAGCACAGAGGAAACCAAGATAATTTCTTGGGGCTGATGCAGCCTATTCTGACCTGCAACAGACCCATTCTCCCCAGCCTCACCACCATAATAGTCATAGTATGTGGGTTGTACGGCTGGCTCAGGAGACCCGCTCGATTCCTTTACACTCTTTTCCCTAAAGTCTAGGCCATCTCTAGAGCTGTTTGTTTGCTGTAAATGCATGTCGGACTTTCTTTGTCCTTGGAAATATGGTTGGGACCATCTGAGGTTGTCCAGTACAGCAGGTGTGCTCTGTGTCTTGGCAGCATGTGATCTGTGGTGGGAGAGAGAAATCAACTTCTCCCAGTGGTGGAGTGAAGACAGGGGAAGGCCAGACATCCTAGTCTCGTACATGATCCAGTTGCTGTAGTCTTCCACCTTGGTGTACAGAAATAGGCCAGGGCATTTCTCCCCACCATGCGTCAGGATTCCTCGCAGAACCCACAGATTCAGCTTCTCTAGCTGGCACATCACTGGGCTTCCTGGTTCCCCCTGTGACAAAGGACAGAAGGCTTCAGGTCTTAGAAAAAAGTTGTTTTCTTTTTGTTTGTTCTAGAAATGTTTTACACTGGTTCTCACCAGAAATGGGGCAAATTATAGGGTACTATTTCAAATCCAGGCACCACAAATTCCAACAAGATGACTTTTCCTTTCATTATGCAAATTATTTGTGGACTTGTGCAGATTGCCTGTCACTTCCTGATTCATATTTCATTTTCTTACCCCTTTCCAGTACCTTGACGAAATCCTCCCTCTCTACTGGCTTCTCAGTCCTGGAATGTTGCTATTTCTTTCCTTCCTGGCCTGAAATGCTCACATTTCCCGTTCCCTCTACTTTGCTTCCATCCTTAGTTTAAGCTGCTTCCTTCCTCCAACCCGCCAGCTGCCTATTTTTCCACCTGCTGCCCAGCCCTGCTCTGTTCTTGGCCTTCCCACTCCGAGGGACAGTGCTCTGGGACTCCAGAGTCCTGCCATGCACACCTTACCTCACTTAAGGTGAGCAAGCAGAAGCTTGGCCCACTGAGCTACCTACGTGACCCTGAGTTGCAAATTCTCTCTGAGCCAAAGTGGGACACAGTTAATGCCTGAAACACATGCAGAGCACCTAGCTCCGCGCCTGGTACACAGTATGCACTCAGTGAAATATTAATTACTGTCATCTTGATGTCTATAAAAGGCCATCATTTTTTGTGTGGAAAGTTGAAAAAAAATGGGGACTGCATTAAGATGACTACTAGATATGATTGACCTTTCCTGCCCCCACACCCCCAACCTCCCCACCCCATGGTCCATCTGGTGCAAGAAAGGGCTTGCCACCCAAAGGCTATCAGAACTGTGTGGCCTGCCTGGCTAGAAGGCCTGGGCAGTGACATGCTCTCATGGTTTGACTGAGACTGTTAAACAGGGTTGCATTTGACAAAAGGGGTTGCAATTGACAAGAGGAAGCAGTCTGAACAGACTCAACCACGAGAAGCAGAGAGGCAGAGAGCGGCCGCCTCAGCCCCTTTCCATCCCAAGGCCTGGGAGTGTGGTCTGTCTTGGGTGTCCTCTTTCAATAAATGTTCCTGTTTCTGAAGCCACAGCAGAACCTAGATGATGGCAGAGGAGGAGGGTGGAGAAGAAAGGAGCGACTCCGCAGAGCAGCTGCTGTGACTCCCTGAGGGCCTGTCAGAGGACCAAGGCCAGACAATGAGGAAGGCGCGATGGCCTACACTCTATGCCTCTCCTTGGGTGGAAGGGAGTGCTGTAGTGTGGAACTCTTGACTTTTCAGTTTTCACAATCTACTGTTTCACCCCATGCTGCCAAACAGCAGAGGGTAGAGATTTCAGCCTAGTGTCTGACCGGTTATGCTCAGACCAGCAAACATGCCCTCATCTGCACCCCACTGTGTCTGCCTAGGCCTGGAAGCTCCCTGCCAAGAATGGCGTGGTCTCCCCTCCTTTCACCCATCCCATTCCCAGTTTGTCTTCACTGTGGCTTTATAGCTTGAGGAAGAAAGAGTGCAATTTAGGACGATCTGATGAATGATTGTGTGGTAGACGTCCCCAGCTATTGCATGGTTTTGCAGGTTACTGTTCTACCCAGGTGCAGAATACGCTGCTTTTTCTCCTCCCCATAATCCTGTGGGGCTGTGACTTCTGAAGCACAGCAGCAGCGGCAAAAAGTACCAGGAGCCCCTCGGAGCAGCCGTGCCTCATCTCCTAAGGGAGTGGCCACGGCACAGACAGAGCCCTTTCGCTGTGTACTCCCCTCCCTCAACATTCAGCCAAAGGCGGGGGCGGGGGGCAAGTTCAGAGCGATTGTGCTTTTTGTCAGGTCTCTGGCGAAACCTATTAGGCAGACACTGCACCTGGTGGTTTATTCTGCACGTGAGAAGTGTGGCTTTGAGGGCCTCTGGACACCAGAACACATTTCCCGGAGATGGAAGGATTCTACATAGACACATCACCATTAGATGGTTTGCAAGCACAACTGTGTTCAGAAACAAAGGACTGTAACTGGTGTACCACAGTTAAAAACCAACCTGAAGTTTGCAGGTGGATTTAAAAAGGTATAAACAGGCCGGGCGCTGTGGCTCACGCCTGTAATCCTAGCTCTCTGGGAGGCCGAGGCGGGCGGATTGTTTGAGCTCAGGAGTTCGAAACCAGCCTGAGCAAGAGTGAGACCCCGTCTCTACTAAAAATAGAAAGAAATTAATCAGACAACTAAAAATATATAGAAAAAAAAATTAGCCGGGCATGGTGGCACATGTACTCGGGAGGCTGAGGCAGGAGGATCGCTTGAGCCCAGGAGTTTGAGGTTGCTGTGAGCTAGGCTAACGCCACGGCACTCTAGCTTGGGCAACACAGTGAGACTCTGTCTCAAAAAAAAAGTAAAAATGGTATGAACAGAGTCTAAACAGCTTACCATATTCCATTCAGTTTAAGATACGCTTAAAATAGTAACATCTTTGAAATTAGGATGTGTCTTTTAATCAGTTGATATCAGAGTTTAACTGGCAGCATTTTTTCATTCTCAGTATTACATAAAATAATGATGCATTCTATGATTGGCAGCATCTTAGATTTGATGAAGTATGATACTGGATTGATGGAAGGGTTGAGGGCAAGATTTTGTTAAATACCTGTGACTTCTACAGTATTTTAACATATTATCTCATTTAAGAAGTTGGTTAGGTCCTCCCTCTGGCAGAGGACCCAGTACAACGTAGGCACTCAGTAAATGTTGAACCAACTTTGGAAGGGCAAACTTATTGTTTAATGAGAGGCAGTCCTTCAGGCTTTTGCAATAAAATGACTTTTAGAAAGAATTGTCCATATATAGGTATTTTTCCCTTCCTCTAAAATACTTGCCGAGGCATGAGGATTGCTTGAGCCCAGGAGTTCGAGACCAGCCTGGCAACATAGCAAGCCCTTGTCTCTACAAAATATAAAAAATATTAGCTGGGCATGGTGGCACACGCCTGTAGTCCTAGCTGCTCAGGAAGCTGAGGTGGGAGGATGTGTTGAGCCCAGATGTTCGAGGTTGCAGTGAGCTATGATCATTACCACTGCACTCCAGCATGGGCGACAAAGTGAGACCCTGGTCTCCAAAACAAAACAAAACAAAACAAAACAAAAAACTTGCTCTTCTAGATCCTCTGGGAAAAAAATTTCCCCATCAGGGAGTCCCGAAGGTTTTTTAGAGGAGAATAGGTGATCAGCATCTTAGACAATTTTAGGGTCAAGGAGAGAAACTCTATCTGGATATCTGGTAGACCTGGGCTCTTATATTTGCTCTGACATTTACTGACTGCTTGACCCTGGTAAGCTGCAGTTTCTGCAGATTTGGACACAAGGGGGCCTGAACCAGATATTCTTGACTTCTACACATGTTCTGAGACAATAGGACAGCCATATCTGTACAGCCCTCATCTGGGTCGGGGGCTACAGAATAAAAACCCAATAACTGATAAACAGTAGCATCAAAGGGGAGTCTAGGTTCCATAGAATCTGAATACAGTGACCCCACACTGTAGACCTGCTCGAAGCATATCTGCATGTGTGGATACAGACTCACACTTTCAAATTTCTAGCTAGTTAAAAAACATTTGGGACTTAGACATACTTAATCATATTACACTGAGAACGGTGACTGGTTAGCCCATTCAGCAGATGTTTATTGAGCACTTGCTATGTGCCAAGTGCTATTCACCCCAGAGACAGCCATGAATCCCACATTAGAGTTCCTGCTCTCATGGAATTCCCCATCCAGTAAGGGGGAGTCCTGAGGTCTCCTTGACATGACCAATTCTTACTCTCAACATTTAGCTTCTACTCCATGATGTTCTTACCAAGCAGACAGACTTAGTTTCCTCTTTTGTGTGATGGCCGCATCCCGTGTTCTCGGGTTTGTGTAAGGGACACAGGTCAGTGTCTTTCACAAAGATTTTCCTCAGGATACTCATCGTCATATGTCTTCCTGTCTGGACCATGCAACAGAGAGCCCAAGAGTTATTAACGAGAAGGTGGCCCCCTACGTTAACGCAACTGCAGCTCACACATCCAAATGGGAGTGAGTGGAAAATGTTTTTATAAATCTCTTTTCTTCATAGAAATAAGAAGCTGTGTCTGAGTTTTTACTGAAAACTACCTTTGCTTTGAACGTGAATGTGTAAATAGGCAGACAACACCTTTACTCCTAGAGAATATCCATTTCCTTCTTTCTTCCTTTCCCAAGAATGAAAGAAAACAAGGGTGGCTTAGACAAAAGGACAGTCAGCTCTAGTTCAGGGAATAATGTCCCCTTACCCCTCCATAACCTTGTACTCATTTCAGCCTGCACACTGCCTATGGACTTCCAGTTTTGGTGTAGGGCTAGAGGAGAAAGGACCAGGGTAATGTGAGAATGGCCACAGAAAGGGCAAGTACTGGGAATCTTGGCTGATTCGGTGGGGGGTTTCAGCCCAACTCTAGAACCTCAGGCAAGCTCAATTACTAAATTAAAATAATCCCTAGAATGGTTCATCCAAGTGCCCCCCACTGCTAGCCTCTTCTAGGAGAAGGGATGCATTAACTGCAGACGTGGGATTCCATCCTGACACCCAGCAGTTCTGCGAGACTGGAGGCATATGGAGCTCTCCTCTGAGGAAGCAGATGGACTGGACCAGGCTGTTGAAATGTATCTCCGAGTCTGTCTTCAGGAGGGCGATGTTATGATTCATTGACCGGTTGTCGAAGTCCTCATGGATGATGATGGTATTGATGGGGTACTCTGTGTGAGCAATCTTGCTGGGATCCATGTTACCTAAACCAACTATAACGACAACGTCCTTCCTGGAGAGAGAGCAAGGGCATCTTGAGAAGCCAAGGCAGCAAGGAAGCTTCACCCTTCCCTGTTTTCATATTTACTGTGTTTTTTTTTCCTGGCCTAGAAAGCTCATCCAACTCATCTTCCCTGTGTTAATTTTTACTCACCCTTTTGGACCCAGTCTCCAGGAAATCTTTTCTAAACCCTTAGGCTTGTGCCTTCCTTTGTGAACCTATAGAATCCTGGGGATTCTTCTATCTTAATACCATTTGTCTCAAGACCCAAAGATAATCTGTTAACAGGTTATTGCTGATTAACTTTCTTTCTATGCATAGCTTTTTTTTTTTTACATAGTTGTTGTTTGCTAAAGTAATAGTTGTAGTTACACCAAAGATGTAATCTTGACTCTTGCTTTTAGTACTTAACATTTTAATACAAGCATCTTTCCCTATGATATACTCTGTAAATACACTTTGGAGAAATTCCAGTTTTAATAATGCTGGAGTTAAGTTGGGTGTTTTCCTTTTCTTCTCTTGGGAATCACCAAAGATACTATGAGAATGAGAAACAAATGCAAACACCATAAAACCAAGAGGCACTAGAGCATCCAAACCTCAGAATTGAAGGGCTGAAGAAAGTGAGGGACAGGCGGAGGGCAAAGAGTTATAGACGACACCTGCTGCCACAGAGCGCAGAAAAAGCTGGCTGAGCATGGTTCTCAGCAAAGAATTGAAAAGAAAAGAAAGAAAACCATCACTCAAGTGAAGGCCAAATTGGAAGCAGCATAAAAGGAGAATAGGGGCCACAGAAAACACAATTAGGGACATTGAGAAAAGTGGCCAAAATGAAATGGAAACTAACAAAGATTTTTAAAGGCTAGAGAGAAAAATGGCAGTCAAAGGATAGCCAGCAGACCCCAAAGAAAGTAATCACAATAGTGAAACAGAAAAAATATTTCAAGATATAATTTAAGAAAGTTTTCCAGAAATAAGACTTGAATCTACGGTTTGGAGATAACAACACTAAGACATACCCTAACCAGGTCCCAATAGGAAACAGATGGCACATTCAAATAAAGCAAATCGGGGAGAGTTGAATAAAGGGACTCTTGGCGAAGATCTTGACAGGACGCAGGGAAACCACAAATACTGCAGTACACTGGGTACTGTGTGGTATGGGCAGGTTCCTGCTGAGGTCACAACAGGGTGCCGATACCACCTCTGGGCTCTAGGTGAGGGGAGGGAGTGGTCAGACAGTGATGGGCAGAGTGGGTCACTTAGCTGGAAAAAGAAGCCAATCTGCAGTGTGACCCTCAGGGGAATGAGGACCCTGACCACACTCTCTCCACTTCCTCTTATCTCTTGCCAGTGCTCCCCTTGGCCAAACCCACCTGGAACCCAGAAGGCAGGAGCAGCCACTGGCGTAACCCATACAAGTGAGCCTCCTGGGCCCACCAGGTAGAAGAGTAGAGAGTGGATCTGGAGAGGTGAATGGGAGAGATTCAGCATAGCTAGTAAAATTGCTAGACTTGAGTGACAAAGAAGGAATCCTTGGGCATCCAGACCAACAAAGAAGTCATCTTAGTTAAGTTTGGCCATGCCGTCTAACCCAGGGAACTTGTGAGGGTGAAAGGAAGGGCTGACAGCATCATGCTGGGGTAGGAGTTGTAAACCGGCCTCTCCCAGGTATACGAGGCTGTGTGGCCACCCGACCTATAGGGGGAAATCAGAATGGCCTCAGGCTTCTCCACAGCAAGATTTAATACCAGAAGCCAGGGGGATGCCCATGAAGTCCTCAAAAGGACAGAAGGCGTGAGCCATGAATCCTGTACTTAAGTGTTCGTTCAGGTCTAAGGACAGCACAGCATTTGTAAAAATGCCAAGACCAAGGAAATATGGTTCAAGGAAATATGGTCCCTTTAAGAAAATACTTGAATACAAAGTTTCAAGTTTCTCCAACCTAGTGTTGGAGAAAATCCAGCAAAAGGACTATCAGGAAGTGTGAGATTCATTATAATATTGGACTAAAAAGAGAAACTTTAAAAAGTTATATATTGGAGTAAAAAGGTAAACCCTGGAAATAATCAAATAGTATAACTAAAGTGGGAAAGAAAGTCAAAGGAAGGAGCCTAAACATTTATTTACAGCTAATCTATGAAGTACAAAGGGCATGCAAATATGCAAATGAGTCGAGGTAAACAATAAAACACGTATATAAGCTATTCAAACTGGGTGATGGAAGAGAGGAAGGGAAAAAGGGAAAAGGCAGGAATTCTGGTACTGGCCACACTCGAGTCTAGGGAGGGCTGTCCAGAAAGAAGCAGAGGATTTTGATGTCTTACGTGAAAGTCTAACTCTAAGATGGAAACCAGAATGAAAATACGAGCTTTCCAAGTTTGTCAGAAGAGACCTATAAAACAAATGTAATATAGTGAAAGGAAAAACAAGAAGCAATAAAAACAGAAAACATAACCTACAACAAAAACAAGAAGCAGGAACCACGTTCTGAACATCACTGGAGAAGAGTGTTGGGTAAGACAAAGAAAGGCTCTTAACGCGATGATGAATTCAGCCTTTAGGAAAGAATTCATAGCTATAAATGTCTGCAGCAATTGATGTACTATTCACAGTGTAATAACTACAGGAAATAGAAGGAGAAAAAAACAGAAGCGTGTTCATGGTAAGAGATTTTAATTCACCTCTGACAGTCTAGGACAGATCAAGTAGACTCCCTCCCCAATTTTATATATTAAATTATACACTGGTCGTGAGTGGTGACTCACTCCTGTAACCCTAGTACTTTGGGAGGCTGAGGCAGGAGGATGGAGGCCAGGAGTTTGAGAGTAGCCTGAGCAACATAAAAAGACCCTGTCCCTACAAAAAAAAATAGAGAAATTGGCCAGGCGTGGTGGTGCAAGCCTATAGTACCAGCTACCCGTGAGGCTAAGGCAGGAGGATTGCTTGAGCCCAGGGGTGCGTATATGTGAGAAATTATGCTATAATCTTTTTAGCTGTGATAAGTGGAGATTAGGTTTCTTTCCAGTGTTGTGTGTGTAATTAACCATCCAATGAACAACTTTTTGCATAAAACTTTTCCAGTGGTTGAAATTATTTCCTTAGTGTTGATTCCCAGAAGCGAAATCACTGGGTCAAAAAGTGAGATATTTTACAAATATTTACAAAAAACTGTTACAATAGTTACAAAAATGTTTTACAGATATTAGCTGTTCCTTTAATAACATTTATGGTTTTTTTTCTGGTGTAAAAGAACATACATATCATACAGAATTTGGAGAATACAGGGAAGTTCAAAGAAGAAAATAGAAATCACGTATTCTGAGCCTCCAGAGACAAGCACTCTTTAGACGCTTCCCGCATTTTCTAAGGCTTTTCTCCATGTACGCATATTTGTGGCAGTAACATTTGCAAGGCCCGGGTGAGTATTTTAAGGTAAGGACCCCTGTTGACTGACTCGCTTAACGGGGTAAGTGGTAGGGACTCTCGTTTCAAGGTCAGTGCCTCTGTGATGGCAGTGACATCGGAATGAATGTCCTTCCTGCACAGAATGGAGGAAGAACCCCTTCAGTTTCAGCTGCGAGGCCCACAGTCCTCCAGCCTTGGCACCTGGTGAGTTTAGGTCCCCGAGGCTCTCGGGCTCTCGGCAGAGCAAGTGCTGAGCTGTCCCGGGCTGAGCGGGAAACAGAGCCGCCCCCACCCGCCCGGAGCGGTGGCGAGAGCCCCTGGGGCAGGGCTACTGGCCTGTTCTGAAAGGCAGACGCGATGCTGAGGATCCAGAACCGACTGAGAATGCAGCCGAAAGCCAGATGGGTGTACTGGGAATCCTGCAGCGACACCACCCAGGGGAACTCCATTTTGCTGACCAGCTCCTCCTCGGAATCCGGGATGTCCCAAACGGTAGCCTGCTGGATGCCGCAACCTGCAGAGGAGTGCGGGGACTCACTGCTGGGGCAAGGAGATGGTCGCCTGGGGGCACCCCCGTGTGGCCAGGCCTCAGGACCCCTCTCCTGCTGGCTGCCCACTTTGCTCATCACTGACTCTATCACCCCATTTCTTTCTTTTTCCTAGTGGGTCTTCTTCCCATAAAAGATACTGGGTGGCATCTTTGAACCTCAAAATCACATTATTGAACACTTAGCAATTTCCGCAACCTTTGTATACATCAGCAGCTCTCAAAGTGTAGCCTGGGACCACTGGGCGTCCTCGAGACCTTTCTGTGGGTCTCAAGGTTAAAACTGTTTTCATGGCCGGGCGTGGTGGCTCACGCCTGTAATCCTAGCACTCTGGGAGGCCAAGGTGGGTGGATTGTTTGAGCTCAGGAGTTCGAGACCAGCCTGAGCAAGAGCGAGACCCCCATCTCTACTAAAAAAATAGAAAAAATTAGCTGAACAACTAAAAATATATAGAAAAAAGTAGCCGGGCATGGTGGCGCATGCCTGTAGTCCTAGCTACTCGGGAGGCTGAGGCAGAAGGATTGCTTGAGCGCAGGAGTTTGAGGTTGCTGTGAGCTAGGCTGACGCCACGGCACCCTAGTCCAGGCAACAGAGTGAAACTCTGTCTCAAAAAAAAAAAAAAAAAAAAACTTTTCATAAGAATACGAAGACGTTATTTGCATTTTCACTCTCATTCTCTCACTAGCCTATGGTGGAATTTTCCAGAGGCTCCCTGATGTCATCATTCTGATGGCTAATAATGTGGTGAATTTGTGTATTCCTGTTTTAAAATGTTCCCAGCTTTAATTTCTAATACAGTAAATATGGAAAGATATAGCCTCACAAGCAAAAAGGGACTCTTTTAAGGTCCACAATAATTTTTAAGAGCATAAAGGGGTTCGGAGGCCAAAAAGTTTGAGAACTGCCGATGTACACTACTTCATATAATTTCCCCAACGGCCCTGAGAGGTGGTGTCATTCCCAGTGTGTAGATAAGAAAATCAAGTTTTAGAGCCAGTCAGCATTTGTGCAAGTTACATGATTGGTAGGATACAGGGCCAGTGCAGATGAATCCAAACTCCGTCCTTCCGACCCCACGCAGCCTAGGTTCCATCCACATTTCATGTCCTCAAATTTGCCCTTGCCCTTCCCTGCAGGCTGTTGACCTGTGCGACTCTTCCTGCTGTGTCTGTTTTGCTTGCCAGTCGATCCCTAGGTGCTAGCACGGTGCTTGGCACATCACAGGTGCTCAAATCACCTGGTGCGTGAACAAAAGGGCTCTGCCAACTAAGCACTTCCTGACTTCTTGTCATCAAGGGGCTAGAAGGTCCTGGCAGGGGGAGGCCGTCTCTGGCCCGCCCAGGCCTGCTCAGCCTTGGCCTTCCCATACCCGGGAGTGGGCTGCCTCCACCTTCTTGGGCAGCCTGGACTTGTTTCCAATGACAGTTAAGTGTTAATGTTTAAATAATATGCTCCTCCTGCCAGCCCTGGGTTGGCCCAGAATGGCTCTATTGCCTTGTATTTAAAAAAAAAAAAGGTTCTATATTCATAGAATCATGGAGAGTGTCAGGATGTTAGAACAGGAAGGACCCTTGCAACTCCTCTAGTCGGGAGGAGTTGACTAGCGGGAATTGACTTCTTCAAAGCCCTGGCTTGGACAGGCTGCGTCCCCTACTTTCCAGGCTCCATTACAGGCATCCACACCAGCTGTTCTGCTCTTCCCAGCTACTGACTCCCTCCACTGCCCCATGTCCTCCCTCGAGGGTCCATGTGCCCTGTTTTGGTGGGTCCATGCCCATGGGACTAGTGCCCACCCTCCTTATTGGACCTGGGGTGCCTATCTCAGCCTCACGTAAGCAGAGTGAAGAGTAGGCGAATTTTCAACGCTGACTGCAGATTTCATCCACCAGAACCCCTGGGCACTGCATTTTCTGAAAAAAGCTCTTGGGGAGATTCTTATGTGTATTTGGGAAGGGCCTGGATGCAGAGTCCAAAATCACGTTGGCCCCTTGGCTGCTGTGAGCTTTTCCCTTCTCTGGGTCTCAGCTTTCTCTTTTGAAATGTGGGCTAATAATCCCAGAACTGCACACCTCTTGGGGTTGCTGTGGAGATCGCGTGAGGTGAGGTTATGGGAAAGCACTTTGCAAACTGTATCTCCACGACTGACAATGCCAAATCAAGCACTGTGTAGATGATTCCATTCTTTTAAAATGTAAACCGCTGCTCTGGTTTACTGTTCATAAATCCCAAACCACAAGCACCCAGAGCTTGCTTCTAAAACAGTGGCCCTGGGTCATGGGTGTCATGTGATGGGTACCACCAGCTGACTGTGTGGATAAGAACATTGGTGACTGCTTTTTTAGCTATTTATCCAGACACACAGCCCTGCCAGGTGCTGAGCTGGGGGCCTGGTCTTCTAGGGATGGATTTCAGGAGTCTGTCACAGTGACATACTGAAGAGTGGTGGCCACACAGACAGACATGTGACACAAGGGAATGTGCCCAGAGTATACAGAAGAAGAGGCATGAAATCTGCCCAGGGCATGAAGTCTGGGAGAACTTTCCCTAGGTAGTGACCTTTGATGTAAGCGCCAAAGACAGAGAGTTTCCCAACCACGATGCTAGAGTTAACTGTAACACACAGCATTACGTCAAAGGACCTCTCTGTGTGGGACATTGTATGAGCAAATGTCTCCATTCATTGACACTTGGAAACTTTACTGGAGCAATGACAGAGCTGATTGTTAGCAAGATGATGCCTATAAGGCCACTAAGTGCTTCAGAACCACCAAAGATAGGATTCGTCATCGTTGGTCTGATTCTTTCTTGTGGCATTGGCAATCATGGCACAAGGCATTAACCCATTCTCTCTAACCCTACAGGTGTGTGATTACTCTTACTTTTTAAAACTCTAGTTGGCTAGTTCATTTGACCTTGCAAAACGCTTGGAAGGTCAGGATATAATGAGGAAATCTGACCCAGAGATGAAATGTTAGCTCTGGGTCACTTAGTTGTAACTAAGGATAAGGATACGGGCTTTCTATATTTCCCAAGGACACCCCCTGGTCTCCTTGGGGTTGCAAGGAGACAGAGGAGGTAGAGGAGGCTGAGGAAGGTGGAGGATTCACCTCTTTATGTGTGTGTGTGTGCATGCACGTGCATATGTGTGTGTGTGTGTATATATATGGGGCTTTCTCATGTCTCCCATCTAACTCCAGGAAGAGAGGGCAGAGCCAGCTGGGATGACAGCGAGGTGGGACAGAGCCTGCTTTAGTCAGGTGTCCCCTCTCCACCTGCCCCTTTCTAGGCTAGAACTCTTAGTTAACAGCCTAGGGGTCAGGGGAGGTAGGGACCACAGCTGCCACTTCTGCCATCCGAACCTCTGGCAGTCCCCACGGCACTGACAGCAGTAGAAGCCCCCACCGCTCCTGGGACCAGCCCTGCAATTGGGACTCATAGTTTGCAAAAGAGCAGTGCACCCCAGGAAGGGCAGGCCTCATGCTGTCCCCTCTGCCCAGAGGGCCTGACTCTCCTCACTTAGGACACTCCCGCCCTGAGGATCAGCCCTGTGTCAGCTTCCTCCATCCATATCCACAGTTCACGTCTTTGCCTGGTTCCTGCACATGCTGCCCAGAGCAAAGTGCTGTGCATCCTCTTCCCCGAGCCACTCCCTGGACCTTAAGGACCACTTAATCTCCCTGGATGGTCCCCCTTCCATGTGACGCATGCAGTTAAAGTCAGACGGAGGGGAGTAGCACACTCACTGGCGGAAGAGTGGAAAACGCAGATCAGGACCAAGAGCATCCCTCGTACCTCCGCCATGCCCAGAGAGAGCCGCAGCAGACACCATGGGCAGCTGGGAAAGCAGGAAAAAACCCAATGACTCTGTCCCCTTCCCAAACACACGCGGGGTTTCCCTCTCCTCCCAAAGCGGTGAGTCCTCCCAGAGTTGGAGGCTCTGCCTCTTTCCTTTCCACCAACAAAGGCTCCAAGACGTGGGGCACCGACCTGTCACATCGTAGTGCTTGGTTCCGTGCAGTCAAGACCGCACCGATATTCAGTTACAGTTTGTGCGACGGCCCACGGAGAGAGGCCTGGGCCCCTGGGAGTCCTGGAGAGTTGGGTCTCCAAAAAGGGTTGCTTTTTGTCTTGTGGAATTCAACCCTTGCCTTAACTCTGTAGCCATAAAATGCTGCTGAAACAGAAGGTGGGTTTTAGTGGAAGCCCATGCGGGCTTCAAGTCTATGCTGTGGTTTTACCTCTCCTGCTAAACTCTGCCAGTGGAGACGGTGCTGGGTTTCTTTTAGCTAGTTACCAGCCTGGACTTTTACACAGTAACAGCCCTGGCATTTAGTTCAGCTCATTTGCACGACCACCCCGGGAGGCAGACACTCTCACTAGCCCTGTTTTACAGATTCAGAGACTGACACTTAGAGATATCAAGTAGCCAACCCAAGGTCACACAGCCACCAAGTTGTGGAACTGGGATTTGAGCTCAGGTCTGTCGGGATTCAAAGTCCTGGGGGTGCTTCACCACATGCTACATCACCAGGCCCACGCCCTTGCCTCAAACCGTGCACAGGGAACAAACAGTGCCTAAGGAACCCATGTGCACAGTTCTAAGTCACCATGTTCCGCTCATGACATCGGATGTTTCTTGTCCTCAGGATGTTCCTCAGAGTTCTTCTGTGAACTGCTTCTGCTAAAGGAGAAATGAGCCACTCTGGCCTTCCACAGCAGAGCTCAACAGAGGGATTTCCTCTACCGCCTTGGGAAGAATGTTCCATTGTGGCATCATGGTTACCATGGCGTCACCAAGCAAACGTCTGGACGTGGGGACTTAGGAGGAGCTAGGATGAAAAGCCTCCTTGTTACCTAACCTTGGCAGGGCTATTCTGGAAGCCAGTCTCTCCCCAGGTCTGGCTGAGCAGACATCCTTTTGCTAGATCACAAAGTCCTCTGGTTGTGGCCACCGTCTGTCGACCCCACTCAGCCCCCACCCTGTGCCCACACAAGTTTGTCAGACAGGACTGGGGAAGCCCACAGCTGGGGTGGATTGGGGATTTCCAGTCCCTGTCAGCATCTTACATTCCCAGTGTGGTTTCTTTCAGGCTCAGCCTGGTTTTCTTTTGCCCCTCAGCAGTGGGTCCAAGCTAAGCTACCACACTGCCTCTGCCAAACCGTAGGGCCAGATTGGATCTGCGCTCCGGCCGCTGCAAGCAGCTCTGGTTTCAGCACAAATGCCAGGACAGGAGAAAAGTGTTGACAATGCCGTGGTAAGATGTCACTACGTGGATCCACAAGGAGGGAGGGTTGGCAGGCTACTGGCTCAGATGCTCAAAGATCCTTAGCAGACGGTGCCTGCATGGCTGATGGAAGGCAGGAGGGCTGGATCGAAGTGAAACTGGAGTCAGAAAGGAGCAGCTACCTCCTTCCACCACGGTTCCCCTGATGTCCTTCGTGCCTAATCATCCTCCATCACCTTTGACCCGATGCAGGGATTGACTTCTGCTGAAAACAGAATGGGGATGATTTTTGGCAGTGGGAGAAGTGGGAATTGATCCTTAAATTTGCAGGTCTCAAAGGCCTTCTTTCACAAACGTTTTCTCACTCCCCCTGGCAGGATGAAGGAATTTCCTGAGCTTTCTAGAGGAGAACATGGTGGCTCAGAGTGGGAAAGTCACTTCCCCAGAGTGACACACCTAGGAAGTGTCAGGGACAAAACTCCAAAACAGATCCTTCCGATGCCAGGGTGGTGATCCATCTCTACATCTGCTTTTTTCAGCCCGGGCCACGTGCTGCCTTTAGAAGTGGCAGAAACAGAAATACCGTTCTGAGCAAAGCCAGGGCTGCTCTTAAAGTGAGGGTGCTGATGTTAGCATTTAAGACCGTAACCCTCTCCAGGTTCCTCTTCAAATCCCCCCATGAAAAGAAATCATGTGCAAACCACGAAGTGTTCTGTCTCCCCTCAGGAATGATCCACATGTCCCACAGTAAGGAAGGCGCAGACTCCTGCAGGGGCCCAGCAGACCTTTTGCACGGCGAGCCTCACATTTTCAGCCTCTCTGGACCACTTACTGCAGATCACTGGCTTCACATAAATTGTAAAAATATGCATCACAATTTTAAAATAATGATTTCATTCTTGAAGGTTAATAACACCAGCAATCATAGTTTTATGTCTTTGAGAGGATATTCATTTGCAATCTAACTCCAACAGCTCCACATCCAGGATAGTGACAGCATGAAACGTATGTGATTTCTCAACCTGTCGCTTTCAATTTTTACTCTTTCTTTTCTTTTATTTTTTTTGAGACAGAGTCTGGCTCTGTTGTCCCAGTGAGTGCCGTGGCGTCAGCCTAGCTTACAGCAACCTCAAACTCCTAGGCTCAAGCAATCCTCCTGCTTCAGCTTCCCAAGTAGCTGGGACTACAGGCATGCGCCACCATGCCTGGCTAATTTTTTCTATTTTTAGTAGAGACTGGTGTCTTGCTCTTGCTTAGGCTGGTCTCGAACTTCTAACCTCAAGTAATCCTCCCACCTCGGCTTCCCAGAGTGCTAGGATTACAGATGTGAGCCACCGCACCCGGCCTTTATTTTCATTAAGTTAGAAAATCCTGACTCTCAGTAAAAGGATATCTGAAATCTCAGCAAGTTCTGGGGGCTCTATTAGATAGTTGTGGATATTCAGGTTGAACATGGAGAGATTTTTCCACTGACGACTGCTCCCAGGGTGCCTGTCACACTCACAACCTGGAGAGCAGAACATTTCTTCTGGGAAGTTGAGTGTTTCATCCTGGCTAGAGTGATGGGTGGATTTCCAGTCCACATGGTTGCTTTTCCCTCTGGAAAAGATTTCTTCATGTTCTGTTGCAGTTTGGGAAAATGGTTTCTAAACATGCCAATAGTAGCTTTACTACATTGAAAATTTCCTCTTCTGCAATTAGCAGAACAAAAAATAATCAACTACTTCTCCCTTATTGATGTATCACGCATTTTCTAAGTGTTGCTTCATCACTGGTTTGTCAGATCGTTAGGCAAAATATCTGCGAGCCCAAATATATCGTAATTGTTACTCCACTGCATGGTATGCCTTCGTTACAAATGTAACAGCCTACAGAGTCTTTTGAACAGAATTTTGTCAGTGGCTCATGCTGCCTTGTCTTTCTGTTATTTTTTGTTAATGTCGACACTCATTTAAAGCTCCCAGCCATGGTATGGAATGTGCTATGAGGACCACAACTTTGAGTCAGGTTTTTGCCTTTTCATATCTTCTCTGTTTAGAAGGAAGAAAAGGAAGAAAGGAAAGGAAGGAAAGAAGGAAGTGAAGGAGGAAGGAAGAAAGGAAGGGAGGAGGGAGGGAGGAAGGGAGGGAGAGAAAAAGAAAGAAAAAATTTCTTGGAAATTCTTATGGAAAAACTCTATAATTTATTTACCAAAGAAGTCATTGTGCTGTTTACAAGTGACAAAAAATGTTTTAATGATTTCATGCCATCACTTGGCAGTTTTATTTTATTTTCTGAGCTCTATGTTGGAGATGGTGAAATAGATTATCCATAGAATGTTACTTTCCTAAAAGTGTTTAAAAACAAAATGTTTGCCATATTATTAACTCCTAAAGGAAGAGCTTGTATGCAAGCATTAGTCAATTTTTAAATCAAAATGAAATGCATTGTATTAGTCACTGTTCCCTGAAAGTCAAATTACCGAATCAACAATCTCTGCGATTGGCTGAGCAATCTCCAAAGGCACAAATGTTAACTTGTACGGCCAATGAACACATGGGAAAATGTCCTCAACCTTATTAGTGATCAGGGAAATGCAAATTAGCAACAAGATATCATTTTATACCCATTTGATTGACAAAAAACAAGGTCAATTAGTAACAAGTGTTGGAGAGGACGTAAATCAATAAAACCCCACAGGCCGGGTGCGGTGGCTCACGCCTGTAATCCTAGCACTCTGGGAGGCCAAGGCAGGTGGATTGCTCAAGGTCAGGAGTTTGAGACCAGCCTGAGCAAGAGCGAGACCCCGTCTCTACTGAAAAATAGAAAGAAATGATCTGGACAACTAAAAAAATCTATATAGAAAAAATTAGCCGGGCATGGTGGCACATGCCTGTAGTCCCAGCTACTTGGGAGCCTGAGGTAGGAGGATTGCTTGAGCCCAGGAATTTGAGGTTGCTGTGAGCTAGGCTGACGCCATGGCACTCTAGCCCGGGCAACAGAGTGAGACTCTGTCTCAAAAAAATAAATAAATAAAAACCCACATACGTTACTGGTATGAGCGTGTATTCGAACAATTGCCTTAGGGAACAATTTAGCATTATCTTGTAAAGTAAGGCATATCCTAACATATCCTCTCACCTGGCAATCCCTTCCTAGGTGGACACCCTAGAGAAACCTGTGCACATGTAGTCAATAGAGAGGTTAGGCATACATCCATATGGATAAACTTATTACACAAAGGGCAAAGGAATGAAACACAGTCCCTCTCTGGAAGCAGGAACATGAGAGACAGGATGGAACTCGTAGGCAGGCATAAGATAAGGGTAATAATGTTCTTTAACTCCTCTGTCGTATGGTAAGTTTAATGATATAAAAAAATTGTAGATGTTCCTTTTAAATTAAATAACTTCAAGTCTAAAGTTTTCATTGGATTTTAATTTACAGTGCCAGTGGCACTGAGTAACTTATGCCTGAACAAAGTTTGTCTAATACACATACTTTTACCACAGTGCACATCACAGCCTTCTTGCACATGGGAACATAGACAGCACTTTAGCACTGTGCTTGAGAGCCACTTTAAACCATGAAATCACC